GTCCCTGGCGCCCCTCGGCTCTCCCCCTTCCCCCGATTGGAGCGCACGGGGAACCTTGGCAAGTTTGGCCCCACTCCTGGAAGAGCTCCCGGTTTCTCCAGAACGTCTGCTCGGCCTCCGCTAACCAGCGAAGCCCTCGGGGCTCCCCACAACGTCCCCAGAGAGGGTACCGCCCCCGCCCGAGAAGCGCTGGCGGATGCTTCCTGTTTGGCCGTCCACCTCTCCGGGCCAAAGCTGGGGAAGCCCTGCTGGGTGCGCGACGCGGAAGGACGCGGGCTGCAGCGCCGGGGCTTGGAGCCTGGCGCCGCCGGGCCGGGGCACCTGCAAGGCCCCCATTCAGTGAATTGAGTGGGTCACCGTCAGTTACTCATCTTTAATTCACATCACAGCAGTCGGGGGCGGGAGGGGGAAACCAAGGGGCAGTTATGTACATCTAAAAGTCACATGACTCGTAGGCTTTGGAACATGCTACCACAATATATACAGTAAAATACCTCTGGGGACATTGGTACAAATTTTTTCTTTTTAACTTTGTTTTCAGGTACAGATAAGAGATCACTTTAAAATAACTTTTTTTAAAACATGAATACACAAAAGAAACGGTTAGAAGTGTTCTTGTCTTAAATAAGCACAGGATGCCAGAGGTTAAAAACACATTTATAGGCGGAAATACCTGTTGGACATCACACTCTATACATTTTTTGCTCAAATTCCTATACAAATACACAGCATTCAAATAGGTATTTACAGGTAAGCTTGAAAGAATGAAAGTATTTCACAATCCTTCCAAAAGATTTTCAGCTCTGGCCTCCCACTCCCGACTTGCCCCTCCCTGCCCGATTCTCCTAGAGAGGGGTTTGGACTGTGTCTGTCTCCCCCTGGCAGGGAACTGCCTCACCTTCCAGAAGCAGCCACAAACCCTCACTCCCCTGACACCCTCGCTCACCACCAAACACCAAAAGGGATGCCTGCCTTGCCTGGCAGGACGGGGAGCGGGCCAGGTGAATAGCCTTCACATGGAGAGCAGTGTGTCTCTCCTACCCAGGATCAAATCCCAAGCTAGTCCCCTGGCCTTAACACTTGTGACACCACCCCTCCCCCCCGGGCCCCTGTGACCCAGGGACTGGAGTTTACAGGTGGAACCACACAGAAGCAGTCTTGCCTCCTCCTGGGTTGCACCTGCCCTCCTCCCGCCCTGGCCCTCTACCCATTGGCTACTTGCTGGCGTTCTTTTTACACAAGCTGGTGTTTGTAAGAAGAAAACATCCTGACCGTAGCCTTTTCTGTTTGGAAACAAGGAATGAGGGGCCAAGGCCCAAGCCTGCCAAAGAGCCAGGGGCCAACAAGCCCGCAACCAGAAGGCTGTCTGTGCCATCCCAGGCCTGCCTCACTACCGTCAACGCAGCCAGCGAAAGAAGAAAGATTCTGTACACTTTTTTTTTAAGTAACCTAGAAGCACCCTGATAAAATACTGTTCCACCCACCCACCCAACCCTCCTCCCCCAATAACCAGCGCCCTGCCCTGAAGGTTTCCTATGAAGACACTGTGCTCTGCCCAACAGACCAGGGAGCTGGAGAACTGGCCCTCCTGCCGACCCTGAACCCTGAGTGCTGGTCCCACTGGCCCGGAGCAGGTGCTGCACTGGGTCATGTGGGGGCTGACCATCCTACAGGCATGGCCCTCTGCTTCTGAAGGAGCAGCCTAGGCCCACTCTGCTCCAGGTGCTTCCTGAACCTGACCACTGTCCTCGGGCCTGGAAGCCTGGCAGAGCAGCCAGGCCCACAGCGCGGAGGTAGTGCTGAAAATCCCTGATTGTGGAGCTGAGGGACAGGCACTCTGACCACCTCTGAACTCTTGGGATGCTGGCCCTGGCAAGACCCTGCTTCTCTCTGCAACACTTGGTCTCCCAGGCCTGGGGAAGGGCCATGCTCCCCCAGGAAGGGAGATGGCTGGGAAGCCCCTCTGTCCATATTCCCCTCTAAGGGCCCAGAGGGTGGAAGTGACCTTTACACACCCACCCACTATGGGGGCCCCTGTAGATGGGTGGGAGCTACGGGAGGGACTGTGGGACGGGGCACATGTTCCAAAATGAAAGAGATGGAAAGAAAATACGGAGGGAAGGGGGAGGCAGGGTTAGCCCACGGACACCTGGCAGTGTGCCCCAGTGGGTGGGCGGCCAGGTCCCCCAGTTGCACCCTCCTGGATGGAAGTGGGCAAGCTTTTGTGCAAAACGGTTTGTAGCCCCTCACCGCCACCCCCGCCTTGTAGTCACAGAGTCCTAGCAATCCCTGAAGGCAACCACGAGCTTCTCCATCCCGGGGCAGAGAGCCGCTCGGCGCGGCTTCCCCTCTCCTCCGTCCACTCTCCCCACTGAGGGCCCGGGGCTGCCGCAAAGCCGTTCTGTCGGTGCAGTCTCCGAGCGCGCGCGCGCACGCGCCGGGGTGGAAGAAAGCTCTACAGCGCAGAGGCAGGGAGGGAGGAACCCATAGAAATGGAAATGTAGAAAATGAACTAAAAAGAGAAGCCGCAGCCCTGCATGCTGCCGCGGCCTCGGCATGGCAACGCGCGAGCTCGCGGCCGGCTCTCCTAGGCGCCCGAGGGCGCGGGG